AAGCAGATATACATACATGGAGAGGAACTTGGTATTACATATAGAATCATAGAATCATATTACTTAGGTTAGAAGCAAGGCAGAATTAGGAAAATAAGAAGTTATTGAATGTTATAATAGATAACGAAAATGATCATACCTATCCTGCTCACTAAACAAAATTCAATACCCTGCCAAGCAAAACTGTTAAGGCGCAACTTGGACTTCGAAAGAGCTTACAACTTCCAAACAACAACCCGGCTTGGAATTTCTTATAATTCATTCTACAGACAGCTGTACCATGTTTTTTTTACATTAAACAGGATATTAAAATTGATAGGATACCAGTCTGACTTCAGTTGGATTCCCTTTGTCCCAGCATTTTGTTTTAATGAATCATTGACCACATTCAGAAAAGCAGCAGCTGAACACAAGGTTCTAGACAGGCTTACTGATCTTGATGCAGCATATCAATGGAGAGTATTACTGCCATCATCCTCAGCTACAACAGCTCGAAAAACAAGTCCTGGTTTGTTTTTACTAAAATAAGCAGGAACACATGCTTGAAGCACATGCAAGAGTTTAAACACACGCTGAACCTAAAAATAATATTTTTGATGGGATGTTTCTGAATGCCTCCAAACAGCAGTTAGTTAAAGTGATCCCCACAGCTTTTTTAGAATCTTCAGAAGTACAGTTGTTTGTCAGCAGCAATACCATCAAGTCCCTCACAGGCATACAAGTGTGCTTACACAAGATGCCCAGGAATGCACATAACTACACCAAGAACTAGAAAGTGCCATGAGCTCTTAGGAGAAGCCAAGTACAATACTAGCACACAAAGGCTAGGCCAAGGTTTAATAAATTATGCTTACAGAAGTTTTGCTTAATCTTCATAATAGATCCTATTATGATACTTTTGTTCACCCCATTGTAAGTGATACAAATCATGCTTCTAGAAAAAGACAGCTTCTCTCTGCGTGTGCATGTGTGTCTGAAAAAGAAAGTGGCTATACGCACATGAAAAGGAAAGCTGTAGCAGACAAAACAGCAACAGCAGGAAAAATAACATTCTCCCTACCTTCTCAATTTAGCACTGCTTGAGTACTGTGAGTGAGGTTTATGTTTTCAGAGCAGAAAATGTAGCCCCATCTCTCACCAGCACATGCAACATTACAACACAGAGTAAGGCACACTTCATTAACAGAGATGGCCACAGAACTGATGGGTTTGAGATTACAACAGTGACAGAAAGGAGCCCAAAACTTACACTGCTTTTCCTCACACTCCCACACTAACAGCATTTAAATTCCATTAGCCATCAACAAGCAGCATTTTATGTTTAGGTCAGATATAAAGTAATTTTAAAATATTAATAATAAAAAGGTAGCTCTCAGCTGAGGTAGCGTCCAAGACAAATGGAGCTCAAGCAAGTGCACCTATTTTCACTGCAAAAAGAAAATCATGGACAGACTTTTCTATACTTTGTCTGTGTAAAACAGCCCTAGTGCCACTTTCAGGGATGCCCTTTAGAACAGGCAAATACATTTGCATTTGTTATTTCCATCCTAATACAAAACTACAAATCTTGCATAAATATAGTTTTAAACCTCTTAAAACGATGTGTGAAAATTGACTAATACTGCTTTTGGATAGTCACATAATCCTAGAGGTCTGACTGTGCAACAGTATGAAGGTGGAGCTATTAGGGCAAACCCTCCCAGCTGTGTGGCTTCTGTTCAGTTATTATTACCAGACCACTGTTAACCATCATCATTACCATAACAAACTACTCCTGCTCCTGTTACCCTATTACCATTATGCAGTCTAGGTACTGTCACACCTTCATTTCAATAACCCAGAAAGATTAATTCTTGCCCAGAATGCCTGTGTAGTCCCTCCAGTTTGTTTTGAGCCTTTCAGCAAACAAATAAAGAATTTACTTTAAATACTTAGCCCTCCCATGTAGACAGAGTGTACTCACCACACATTCCCAATTCAAAACTACCTAAAGAACAACAGCCAGAGACTAAACACATTATAAGAGTTATTACAATATTCACAGACAGTACAAGCTGCTCACCCTCTCCTTGCTGCAGCCACTTGGAGCATCCATGCTGGGCAGAGTCCCATCCAAACTGCAGGAACACTGGGGACAAGGGGGCTGATTTCCCCGATCCCAACTAAGACAGAAAGACACTTGAAGTACCAGGTTGTCTTCTGCAGCAGGCCACCCGGAGGGACAGAGGGAGCAGGGCCACCCTGCCTCCTGCCCTGGTGGGGTGGCTGCAAAGAAAGGGTTCAGCTCATGGGGGCAATCCTCCCTGCTGCAGGAAATCCCAAGGAGGTGGTTTGCAGGTAGAATTCATTCCCATCCCAGTGAGCACACAGTTCAGCTGAAAAGTATTACTCTGGACCCCATAAGCTTGTTAAATAATGAACTTTGCCCCTAGGCTTAAAAAAATAAAAAATAAGGGGGAGGCAGTGTTGCACAGGCTTACCAGTGCCCACTTCCTGCAGAATATGCCCTTGCATGAAGTGTGTATGAGGAACTGCTACTATTTTTATCTCTAATGCTTCCAGGTTGCTGCAAATATCTAAGATAAGATTAATGCATAACATTTACCTGCATAAAACCACAATACCCTTACTTTCCGCCCAGCTTTTACTCCTATGTTGGAGGACCCTCAACTTCATTCACTTTTTAAGATGTTTCTAAAGCTGAAGATTTTAAAATAGGAGCAAAGAGAAATAAATATAACGTGTGAAAAGTTGACCCAAAAAGGCTGTATGACCTGCACTTAAACATTAGTTTAATATGTAGCAGTATGCCATATGTATGGAAAGTAAAAATAGAGGAAGCGTAACATCTATGAACACAAACTCAAGTGACTACACATTTCACACTTAAGTTAATAAAGCTCAAATGGATGATGATATAATCATATTTTCCTTGAAACAATTACTTACAGTTTACTTATTTAATCCTTTCATAATTACTTCAGGCATTCTCTCATCACAGGAACAAATAATGTGCAGTACTCACTCACTCAAACAGTTCCAGCAAAAGCAACAAACTCATAACTAAAGGCTTCCAACATGACTAAGACTGGTTGGATCCAGAGTCATTCCCCCCCTCCCCCCCCCCTTCCTACTACTCTCCAGTAGTCAGGCACAAAAACATTTTTCTGTTAACATATTCACTTAACACATGCTATCCCGCTCACTTCCCAGTCTCTTGACCTTTCTTCCTTCAGCTTGCTGACAGTTCCCCTTTTTCCAGGGAGCACTTGCACTTCTACACAATGCACTATAGCGGCAACTCCCCAGACTCTTGAGGTTTCTTCAAGAAACAGAGTGACTGCCCCAACACATGCAGAGGAACGTACAGCATCCCTAAGGAGAGTATCTTCAGTATCAGCTGTTCCTCCTCAGCAGTTCAGATGTACAAAATATGCATCACACTGCAGTTTAGATTCTTTCTACCTTTTAAACATAAGCTATTCTCAGGCTTTACAACTCAAACACCTGTTTCACTCAGTAAATAACTGACTTGCAGTCATGGGCTGGCAAGAGTTGAGGTATTTTTACCCTTCACTAAGTTCTGCATATTTTTTTTAAAGTAGTCTTAAGTGGTAAGAGCAACCAGATGAATTGATTTCGTGTTCCTATTTTTAAGTACTTGATAAACTAAGCAATATGATCACTGATAGTATATTAGCATTCAGAATACTTCAATGGTAAGCATTCAGCTGTAATTAAAATAATTTAAGAGACACTACAGTATACTCAGTAACCTTTTCCACACAGAATATTGTTTGAAAAGCAGGAACTCCATGAGCAACATGAGGTCTGCAACAGTTTGAATACCTGAAATAAGCACAGGCAATGTACACAGTCAAAATTTGACTTCCCACGTAGTTACAGTAAAACTTCTATTCAGTAAAACAAACAGCACAGGGGAATGGTGGGGGGGGGGAAATCAGAATATAGGCTTAACTTTTAATTCACACACTTCCCTCCCTTCCCCATACTGAAATGAATAATGAATGAGCTAGGTCATGATCACTTTCAGTAACTATGTCAGAAATCTTCAAATCAACGAGATGAAGGCAAGAGCTGTTAAAGCTCAGACATCAAAGATCTTCCTAGTAATGCCACATGCTTATACAACCGCATACTATGCATCATTTTTATGTATTTGCATACCGGGAACTGCAACCACAAGTACCAAAGGTACTTGACTGCTACATTACGAAACTTCCTATGCAAACAGAAATTAACACAGGATTTTAAGTATTTGTGACTGAAATCTGAGAATTTAAACCTAGCCTTCCCCTGCTCCTGGGCAAAACGAGAATCTTCATACTCGAGTGTCACCTGACACCTCCCGTCACCTCTGTCACGCAGCAGCAACTCATCCAAAGTGTCAGTAACTCCAAGAGGCTTTTCAACAAATAGTCTCGGCTGTCCTGGTCACCGTCCCTCCACGCCTCCCTCGCCGCTTCGTCCCATGCACAGCTGCTGCTTAGAGCGTTTCTCAGCCCTCTCGCCCGCTCTCCCCGGCTCTGCCCGGTCCAGCCCTCAGCACGACCCCGCAGCGGGAACCCAGAGCCTCGCCCGTGCCGCGGCAGCCCCGGGTGCACCAGCGGTCCGGCTGCTAGGACCAGCTGGGGCCGGCGGGCCGCTGCTCTGCCCGGGCTCCGCCACAGCCCGCTCCCCGCAGGGAGCTCCGCGCGGCTGCAGGAGCGGAGCCTGCGGGCTGCCTCTACCCATCAGGTGCTTTCCGTTTCTTTGTGAATGCAGCTGTTCCCCACGCAGCTTTCCTTCCAGCAACCCTGAAAATCTTAACAATATAGTATTTTTTCTCCTTAAATAAATCCTTCCCTCACTACTAAAGAACCCCCTCCTTAAAAAGGCTTCTCACAAATATTTTCGTCAGTGGGCTTTCCACGCCGTCCGTTCAAACGGACCCGAAGGCCCATGCCCCGAGGGCATCTGCCGCGGGGGTACAGGCTTACCTTCGGCTCCCCGGCGTCGGGCTCCTCCTCGTAGTACCCGTGGCCGGACTCGTAGGCGGCGGCAGCGGCGGGCTGCCGCGGCCCCAGCAGCACGGCGCCGGCAGCGAGGCAGCAGCCCAGGGAGAGGACCTCCAGCAAGTGCATTGTGCAAAGATGGCAGGGCAGGCGCTGAGCGGGGCTGCGGAGCACTTGGAGGAATGTAGGCGAAATTATGAGGCTCCTTCTCTTCCTCTCCCTCCGTCCCTCCCTCCCTCCCCTCGCAATATCCAAGGCAGTAAAATCCGTGGGATGGAGAAGATGCGATAGCAGCAGCTCCCAGACGCGTGCAGGAGAGTTCCCAACTTTCCCAGCCGCTTTGCAAATTCTCACCAAAGTTATCCGGAGTTTGCCAGGTAAAAACCCACCAGGAAACCGGACATCCGAGGCTGCGCTCACTCAGGAGCAGGGGAGGTGGAAAGAGCAGAGGGGAGGAGGAGGGAGGGAAAGGAGGGAGAGACAGAGCGCGACCGAGGGGCAGCGCGGGACCGAACACCCAGGCGCACCCAAGGAGCTCTCCTCGCTCTGGGTCGGGCCCGGCCGGGGGGGGTCTCTGAAAGGCTCCGCTCCGCCCGCCGCGGAGGTCCGTCCGGACGGCTGTCAGCTGCAGCGCGCCCGAGGGGTGCGCGGCGCCTGGGGCTCCTCGGCGGCGGTGGGGGCCACGCATGGCGAAAGCGCCCTCTGCCTGCTCCTCTGCGCGGCGGGAGGGGGCCGGCGGCGGCCTTGCTCCAGCTCCTCCTCCTCCTGCCGCCGCTGCTGCTGCTGCCGCCTGCCGCCGACGCTGTGCTGGCGCCCCGCGAGCAGAAGGTCGCCCTGAGCGCGTCGTCGCGTCAGAGCTGTGGCGGGAAAGGGGGGCGGGCAGGCCCTAAACTGCCCGCACGGCCCGGGCACAGGCGGCCCCGCAGAGTCGGGCTGGTCACGCCCCGAGCCTTGGCCCTGCGAGGATGCATCCCGCTGTAGGTCCCAGCCCCGAGGGGAAAGCAAAGTGCCCTCTTGTTTCATTTCGGCAGATGCAGTTGGGTAAAATGCACACAGAGAAAGCATGCAAGAAAATCTCTGTTAATTCTCATCAGGTACTTGTTGAGCAGTACTCCCCTTCACTTGAGGGAGTTTTGCCTGGAGAGAAAAAGATTTTGCCATGCTGGAAACAGAGTAACTCAAGAGTACCATATTTGTTTATAAACTTCCTATCAGTGCCATCTCAGAGCTATCTTTGAACAGAAGTTACACCCCATTCAAAGCACTAAATAAAAGAGTTGACACTGTGCTCCAGTGACACTGTGATTCAAAGAAAACAAAAAAAAAGTCAAGCAGTAAACCCAAAAGGGATTGAACATTGCTGACAAAGTACCCCACTGCAGCCTGCTCAGATCTCAGCCATGCAAAAGGAAAATGTTATATTCCCTGTACTATTATTATTGCTCGATGTGAACAGGATTATTGAATCTTGCGTAAATATTTGTAAAGCTTTTTAAATTGTTCTGAATCACTTTTATATATCTTCTGGTACTGAGACTGTGTGGGAACAAACTGTGGTGGCAGACCCCTGACTGCCTTGGCTGGATGCTGGCAGTCTGCTCATGGTACACTGTTCTTATTCTTTGGGAATTCCATTACATAACTGTTCAGGGAACAATATTCTGGGGGTTATGCATAAAGGGGTCTCTAGCAGGCCTCTGGGTACCTCCTGTTCTTTCTATTTCTTACCATTTCCAAGAACCTTGCTGCTACAATACAGTATTTTTATTACGCTAGGAAGTAATCACCGCATTTGCAATCAGAATGAAATCTGAAGTTTTAGTAGAGATGCATTTTAAGTTTTTATGGTTACTAGAAAGTTATTAAAGCACTAACAGTTTTTTAACATCTTCACAACATAGTAAAGCCATGAAGCAAAGCCAGTGGTAAAAGTTAAGCAGACCAGCTATGAAGATATGATAGTATACCTAAATTAAGAAGCCTATTGTTCTTCAGTGGACCCTTACAGCGCTGTGGATCAAAGCATAGGATTAAAGCCTAAAGAGCGCATAGGCCAGGATGCAAAACCTATCTAAATAGAAATACAGCGTTACTGAGTTTCAACACGTTAAAACCTCTCAGATACATCACAGACTGTAAAAAGCAAATACTTTTGCAGCAGATTAATAAAATCTGCCTGACAAACCATGCACAGATAATATTTCAATAACAGTGCCATGCAAAGAATGCCCCATAACTAAATCACAAACCAGGATGGAACATACCACTCCTGCTGTGCCATCATAATCAGCTGGCTTCATTATTTATTTCCCCAGTTCCACAGCATTTGCATTCTGTCCCTTTCCTCCCCCAGTCCATGGAACATCCATCACAGGATCAAAAGCTTTTATACAAAAGAGCATTTCCACCAACTGCTCTGTATAGCAAGTTTAAAGTCTCATAACTGAAAGCTGATAATCACAGTCATAGCACCTCAAGTCACAGACTAATCATAAGGTTTTAAAAATAAATGGCTTAAAATCTATGATACTTTATATCTTTTGTTTACAAACATATTCTGTTTACAAACAAGTATTCCAATGGCTCTGGGACACTAAGGTTTTCCTCAATTCAGTCTGTACTTCTTTCCATCCTGTAAAGATGGCTTATTTAAAGGCTTACTGATTTAAAGTATTTTCTCCTTTCCTCACCTCCCAATAATTAATATTGCTCCTCTTGTTTTCAAATTAAGCAGAAATCTGTCAACAGAATTAAAGTTCTAAGTAGCAATCAGTACACTGACAGTGAACTGACCTTATAAGCACAAAAGACACAAGAGATATCCCTTATAGTATAGCAATACAGGTCTAGGTCTTATTTTGTTATGTTTCAATGGCAGTGACAGTTACTATTGAGAAACAAAGGAAGCTTTTTATAATCAGATGTAAGATTCCTTCAAATAAATTCTCTTGATGTTGTTTTAAAATTGCATTAAAAAATCCAGAGCCCGTTCTGTTGTTCAAGTTGGTGTAATGTACATCTGTCAAGCACATTCCTCTTCTAAGTTTAGACATACTGAGTATGTTCCTTTCTGATAAATTCTCTGTATCCATTCTGAAATGTGGATGGGTTTCAATACCTGTTTCCTACCTCCATTCATCAGCAGTACAAAAAGTCAGAGAGGAATCAGTATAAGAAATGTGAACTGAGACCGGGGAATAGAAAAGTGTCAATAGCAGCAAGAAAAGTCAGTAGGATGCTACTGTAATTTGATCTACTTGCTGATGGTACAATTAAATGATAATGCTGTTTTCTTTACACAGCATGTTATTTACATTCTCCTTATATTTTTTTTGTGTTTGATTCAAACCAATCTCCTTTGCATTCTTAGACATATAGAGGCATATATAGACATATGTAGGCAAGACTTAAAATTAGTTAGCATGGTTTGCTAATTGCAAACAAGCCATGTTTGTTTCAGCACACATAGGCTTACTGGTGAGTTTCAATGGAATTTATATTTAATGTAAATGTCAAAGTTAGAAAACATTGTTCCCCAAGTGCAGCAACTCAAAAGACTATGGAAGTGCCATTCTGGAGTCATTCCAAAAGATGAAGGCACTATAGTAAGCTTCAGTCCTTAGTTCCTCTACAGATAGGACTCCCCTATATTTCCTCTCATGCTTAAAAGCATGGGAAAAAAAAATCTGGATATTGATCAGTGTCTGAGATATCAAAGTCTTATGTAAATAGTGTAAACGAGGCTGATATGTATAGGGAAAAGAAACTGACAAGGCATTTCAGATTCACTGCCAAACTACTAGAACAGCTGTTCACTAAAACATTTTCTGCCAACTGAGTCTTCCAATCCCAAGTTTTATTACACATTTCTTATCATATTGCTTATGTAGTTGGAGTAACCAGTTCTATGGAAGAGAAGACTTAGCTACTGAGAAAAAAAAAAAAGATGGTGCAGTGGATTTCAGGCTTTAGTCCACTTCTCAACCCCCTTTCTTTATAAAAAAACATATATGATTTAGTGGGAACATTTAGGAGTACCGCAGATTTACTGATTATGTGCATAATGGCCTTTCTCATTCCTCACAAGCAGATTTAAAAACAAACTTTTTTTTTAATGGGCCCTCATGTAGTATTTCCTTATAAGATCCTAGAAAAGAATCAGCATTGTAGCTTGAACATCATCAAAAGTAACTGAAACGTTTTCCTTGACTTTGATCAGACATCCTCACCATAAAACTTAACCCATGGGAAACTGCCCTGCACCAAATCTCCAGCTAGGAATCCTGAAATTTAGCTTTATCCATTTATCTTCCCTAAAAATATTGTTAGGATGAATAACTTTAATGCAATGAGAAAGACATCACTGCTGCAAAAACATTTTCTGCAATACATGACCTAGCAAGCTGCACTTTACTACCCAGAAAATTATTTTCCATTTAGTATAAAAGTTCGTCCCTCTTGAAAATTAACTAACAAGAACCCTTAGTCTTCAGCCTTTAACCCTGGTTGATATTTGGGGATTACAGGATTATTGGGGTTTCTTTGTTCTCAGGGCTTTTCTTTCTAAACTTAAAATCAAGACTAGTGGTATCTAACATTAGAATTTTTCTAGGCTACAGACTGGATGACTGCAACAGTGTAAAACCCTTGCTATAATAAGGGGTTAACATGATTCAAAAATGGACAACACAAGGCAGTATCTCAAGAAAAGTGTTTGAATTACCCAAAGCAAATTACAGATCTCTTAAAGAGAGATTCAGATCTGAGGTTCTTGCTTAGGCCCATCTTTATTTTTCACATAGTTGAAAACAGGTGGAGATTAATCTAAAAATTATGGAAAGGAGAGGTTTGTGGCCTGGGTTGGGTTTTGGTTGTTTTTTTCTTTTCTTGATACACCAGGTAGTAATTCTGGAATTTGCTGTTATGAGAAGTTGGAAGCAGAAAACGGTGAGGTTTAAAACTGGATCAGACAAATTAAAGAGGATCAGGAAAAAAAAAAGAAAGGTAGGAGTAGAGGAGGACAAACTCTGCATGCCTAATTCAATGAATGCGGATGCTGCAAAAAGTGTGAAGGAAATGGACTGCAGAAGCAGACAGTCTTGTGTACTCTCCCCTATCCCCTAAATAGCATGTTCAATTGCAACTGCTGGAGACAGAAAAACTAGATGGACAGTCTAGACAGATGGTTTGTTGGAGCCAATAGGACATTTTTTATATTTTAAGGGAAAGTGAATCAATTTTTCATTGATTCAGGTCCAAACCACAAAGTAAATGTGTTTTTGTCTTTTAGTCTCATGTTCAGACCGCGTATACTTAGTCATAACAACAATACTTATTTTTTTACACATCATTATTGCACCAGAAGTCAGTCCAACAGATAGGGTTGGAAGAAAGTACACAGGAAATCCAATCTGTAAAATATTCTTTATAATCTACAATGAAATGAATAAAAAGTGCTAATGCTATCATCATTCAAACTATATTAAATCATTCCACCTTAGAAAAAACTTCATGTATCTGCTTTTTGGATACATATGGTAAAGCAGCGGATTTTTAATTTTTTGATTTTATTTTTTTTTTAAAAAAACCAAATGGTAAGACAAAGCAAAACAAAAAACCTATGTACCAATTTTCAGTCAGTAAGTTATCATTGCTAATAGTTTTAATTGGCACCATGTTTAACTTGGTT